CATGTTCAGTGACTTATTAATAATGCTTTGTTTTCACTTTAGATCTGCACCTGGGACTGACAGCTCAGATTGTGAGGTTAATATCCACTAACATTCTGTTAAATTAAGTAGCCAGTTTATTATTCATTTATATTTTTCCAATGATTACATTTAGATTTATAGTTGTAAAGTGTAACACGTTTATATTTCATGCCTGAACCTACTAACCTGAAAAATGTAGGAGTCAGGCTTTGGTTGGATAGCATGGTCCTGTTAGCCTCTGCTGGTAGATGCAGTAACTACACCATCTGCCAGCAAAAAGCAGCTTTCTCGATTAAGGGCTGATCAGGCAGCATATATATTGCTGTATGTGTTGCTATACTGAACAAAATTGTAAACGCAACACTTTTGTTTTTGCCCCACTATAGATCAATGTAATTACGCTTAGTTTTTATTTTTTCTATTCATTTGTTAATAAAATAAATGCAATGCACATTTATAATGAATTTTAATATATCTCTTCTATAAAGAGAATGGTTTTGAAAAGAAAACACATTTTTTGATGTCCCCCTCAGGAGGACCCAGAGATGTTCTTCAAAGAACCTCAGGATCTGTTGAATCTAATGACTGAGCTGGAAGAGCAGAATCTTTCCCTCATCCAAAACACTAGAGAGACAGAAGTGGCTTTGGAGGAGTTCAGAATGCTGAACTGACTCGCAAAAACATGTGTGTACTTGTGTGCACCAACATAGATATTTTCGTAAATTTATTCCAGTAAAAAATGCTGTTTGTTTGTGTGTTTACAGGGAGTCTGAATCAAAGCAGCTAAAAGAGCAGACTGATATCATGACTGATATCATTCAGAGGGAGAAAGAGAGAGCAGCAGAGCTGGAAATGAAAGCCAAGCTGTTCAGCTTTGAACAGTACAAACCAGAGGACCAGGTAAGATATTTGTCTTTTGTTGTCCTACTTCGTCATTATCTTTGTAACTTGCATTGACAAACAAAACACCTGTTGATTAAAAGGTTTTCTGTGTTGACATGATCGTGAATTTCGAATTCTGAAAATTTCGTAATATACTGAATATTTTCCCTTCCAAATGTAATGCATTCAGTTTCTAAATAATAAAAAAATTTTGCCACTAGTCTGCAGAAGTCCACTGTTGGCTTTTTCATTAACAGTGTGATTCACTCACTGACATTTCATCTTGGTAGAACTTCTATTTCAAAAAATACCTGTAAGAAGGCTTTAAGAAAAGCATTTTTTTTTTTAAACGCAGTGTTAATCATATTTAATATTTAATTAATCTCACACGTTAACATGATAACTTTGGCAGCCTGTTTAGATCTGATCTGATACATAAAGAGTTGCAGAAAGTGTCTGGATTGCAAAAATCTTTCTCCATAAAATCCCAAGTGGACAGTTAATGGAGAATAGTGATTTGAACTGTTCATTTAATCCAGTTCGATTAAAGGTAGTAAGGGCACTGTCAGGTTAATGAACTTGATAAGCCAGATCCAACAATGTACAGGTGTGGTCTTCAAGGGAACAATCGCACCCTGAGGTAGGAGAATGACATGAACTGCCACAAATAACTTGTTACATAGACAAGTATAGCCCTGGAGTCAAGATTTTACCTAAAGAATATTCTCCATTCTGGCAACAGTCAGCAAGACTGTTGATTTTATATGATTTAAAGGTGTGAACTTAAAAACATAGCCAAACACTAGCAGTTATAGACATTTGCAAGTCAATTCAAGATGTCATCTTAAAAGATTTAAAACATTCTGATAAAAATGTTGGAAGGTTCTAGAAACTTCTAAAACATGGCATACATCCAACTACTTGTCGGCAGTAACTATAACAGCAATACAATGTTTAGTTGTGCTGTTCGAGTCTTGTAGCAAAGACATTAAATATTTGTCTAAAATGCTTTTTTTTCTTCTAAATTCTAATAAAACATGAGTGCTACTCATTGCTTCTAGAAACAAGTTGCTCAGTTACAATCTTTGATAAATCATTGGACAGTAGCTTGTCATTTGATAAATATGTCTAGTGACCTAAGAATACAAGTCCTTGTACCTTGTCTCCAGGATAAGGCACTTGACGCATTGAGCTGTAAGGTGGAGGAGGTGTACCACTGCTGTGTGGGGGAGACAGAGGCGAACCTGACCACTTTGCAGATGCCGACAGTCATTGAGAAAAAATTGGGGGAGCTTCTGGAAAATGCAGATATGATTCCAAAAGACCAAATGAGTATAGCTGAACGTGCCAAAGAGAAAGAGAGGAGAATGAGGTGACCACATCCCGATCTACAGTACTGTGCAAAAGTCTTAGGCCACTAGTATTTTCACCTACTGTAGTGTGTTAGGAAATATCAAATTTCAAGAAACCTACCTGCAAAGCTACCTGAAAAAATATGAGCAAGTGTACCCAAACGGTGGTCACACCAAATGTTAATTTAATTTAGTTAATAGAAGTTAATTGATACATACAATATATTTATGACATTATTTTTTAATGGATCCTCAATTTACAACATTTTTACACAAGTGCCTAAAACTTTTCACAGTACTGTGGCATTGTAGGTTTCTTGAAGTATCTTGGAGATGTTGCCATACTCCTTCTGGATTTAGTATGCGTCAGTTTTTTCTGATTCACCCAGACAGACTGGATGATGATGAGATCAGATCTCTGTGTGGAGCAGTGGCTGTTGTCAGACTCCTTATGCACACAAAATCTCACTAGATTATTACAAATAATGGCAAAAGGAATGGTTGGAAATGTAAACTGATATTTCCTACTGACACACTATAAATATAGAAATAACTGACCATTTTTAAAACCATTTTTTTTGTTGGTGAAAATACTAGTGACTTAAGACTGTTGCACAGTAGTGTACATCTACATTAAATCAGCAACAGAATCATCTGTATCTAGTATGTTCTTCAACTTCTTTTTACTGTTTAGGCTGCGTGATGAGAAGATATATTTGCAGATGAAACAACAGGAGGAAAGACAGAAAAAAGCCTTGGAAAGATCTCAGGCTCAGATTAAGAAAATGTTTGTTTTTTTCCCCACAACTTTATGGCTGTTTACCACCCTCTCTCCTGTAAAAAAAAAAAAAAAAAAAACTTTAGTTGCAAGTTTACAAGTCATGTCCGAATTTTTAACCCCCATTCTTCAGTCCCTCTTTAGCTATATGTTTCCATCCACCTATTTTAATGTTTAATTTTGTGATATTGCATTAAAAAATGCTGGATGGAAACAACTAAGATGTGCATAAATTCTAAAAACTGTATGTGCTCAAATGAGGCACATTTTTTTTATCCAATAACAAAACATGTGCATAAACTGCAATGTAAACACATTTACAGAATAAATTCCTTGTTGCGCAACAAAAAAGTTACATGAATTTGCATGATGGGATGGCGTAACTGGACTAACTAGTGGACCGATCTCATTGAGCAGCATCTGAAATGTTTTTTGGTCATTCTGAAATGCCTGAGCTAAAGTCTATGAGACACAAGTAATTTATTATATATGAAATAGACCCACAGTGGTTTCTCCTAATAGAGCAAATTATATTTTTCTTAGTGATATTTGGCACCAGTTTATTAGGAAGTTACGATTTTATTCTCTTTTTTTCTTGCTGGATGGAAACAGTGCTTTATTCACAAATGTTTAATATGATAACCTAATTTTATGCAAAAGTTAAATTTGCATCTTTGGATGGAAACAACTTTTCCAAAGCCTCCATTACATTGTGACAGAATCACAATACAATCTAAAATTTTGTTTGGTGTTTAGGAATAATAGTATCAATACTGCATTCTCTTTGTTACCTCACTGGGACAGTGTGGTCCAATGTTCTGATCAACCAAGCTTTTAAGTTTAATAAAAAGCTAACAATTAATTAAATGATAAAATGTAAAGTTAAAATAAATCGTTTTAAAATAACAATGAAAATAAAACACATTTTTTTTAACTAATATTTACTTGCATGTCATGTGACCATTAGCTTCAGATAACTATGAACATGCAAATGTGTTTCCCAATTATCAACTTATTACCTTAAAATCTCAGGGGTTCTTCAAGCAAATATATTAGGTGAGGTTCAGCTGCCAAAAAAGTTTGGGAATACCTGCATTACATGTAAATAAGACATAATGTGATTTGAATAATGCAATATTGAAATGTTGAGAAAATATTTTTTTTAATCCATTGGTCAAATGCTGTATGGCCTCCAAATTTTCTGTGTAATTATGCTAGTATTTTAAATATAATCTAATTACAAGTACATACATTTTGAATCTGATTACGTAATCCAGATTACATGTAATCAATTACTACCCAGCAACGTGTGAAGTACATATATTTTTGAATTTGATATTTTTGAATAGTAATTTCTTCATTGGGGAAGGGGGTTAAGGAATGGTTACATAATACATCAAGCTCTTTTATCTCAAATTATTTCTTATCTTATAACATCTTTAAATGACTGATATTGTTTTTGAAACAAGTAGGAGTGAGAAAATGCTTTCTGCTTTCTTTTAGTCTGTCAAGAAGCTGATGCCACAATCTCAGCCTCCAGTCCGCAAACATCAGACAAACAAAAACATTAAACTACAGAACGGGAGAATGAAGAGTTCCTGTATTTCTTCAGTTAAAATGAGCATGTTGATGCTTGCTTGAATATGAATACAAATGTATTTCTGTAGATAGTAGGTGACCAAGTATATTTTCAATCCTTGTTTTTGCAAGGTTTAAAGGGGCAAATAATGTTCTTTTTAGCAACATCATATGACCCCTTTAAATGTTTTTAAAAGGATGTTATTGAATGTATGAATCATAAACATGTGAAATCTTGTAAAACTCAAAAGAAATATTTGCGGACACAAACTAGAGTCAGAAGTTTGATTTAAATGTAAAATTTTATGAACCTGTTCTGAAGTAAACCAAACCTAATAAATACATTTTAACTGCATTATTTTATAAAAAGTAGAACAAACTTCCCCCCCCCCCCACAAACATGAAGCATAACTATATCTGCACTTTACAAAGCCATACAAAAATAGGCATCAAAACAACTTTGTTTTATAGTGGTGAATCAGGCAAATAAGTTAAGGTCAAATCAGACTATATATAAACAGTTCATGACAATCATGTCAAACAGTTAAGTTTTCATAGATCAATAGTATTTATTCTGGTTAAGAGGCAGATCAGTGATGATGTTCACTGCCATTTATCGTTTATGTACTCAAATCATTATACTGAAATATGAACTTTTGAAAAATCAAGCAAGTCACATGATCAAAATTAAACAAAACTAAATGTGCGTTGTTTTTGGTCAAATTAGCTATCTGTATGGAACACAGTACTATTCTGACTTCATGTATTAAACATGAATGCAATGATTTCTTTAAATTAGATAATGATAAAAACCAGTGGAGGCACTGAGAAAAGGTACAAGATCATCTGAGAAAGAGAATGAGAAAGACTAAGGGGAGACAGCCTGACATAGAAGGTCTTTTAGAAGCACTTTCTGTTTTCACCATCACTCCAAGTCTTGTAAATTGATGGTGCTGCCAGTGAATTGGGAGTTATCAGATCCATTTTCATCTTCAGCCATGACTGTAGGTTCCTACAAGAGATAATATTTAGGTTAGTTTGTAGGATACTGTGTAACAGAGTAACAATAACCAAATTTCAAAACACAATGGGACAATTTTATGGCACACAATTGCAATGGATATATATGGGCCATTCTACAGAATTGAAGTCGGGTCTTTATCCAAAACAATTTTTATGTATGCAAATTGTATAATATCCAAGTTACACATTTCTACTAATTGTGCAGTTAATTCTCAGTGTATTTTCAGAAAGTTTTGGAATATTTGCCCAAATTTGTCACTACCGAAGCACAGTAATAATAAGTTAATTAGAAGGGTTATATTGACCTATTAAGATTCTGCTTACATCTACTTTGCAAATAAATTTTTTTCTATTTTATAAAATCTTTCTAGAGGTAAATCAATAATTACATTTTTACCAATATTTCAAGTGTAATTTATGAGATTTGTTGTATTTTGAATCCAATTTTTCTTTGTAAAAGGCAAAAAGTTGATCATACCGATTTCAAAGTATTTGTTAGTTTGAATATACATTGAACCAAAAACTATCATAACATCTTAGTTGATAATTCAGTATACTTTATTATTGACAAAACATCCCATGTTTTGGTAGTGACTGCACATTTTCGGTAGTGACAGTAATGCTTTGGTAACGACCACATCACATTAAAGAATTTTAACTTGCATACTAAAACAAAAAATTTGCATAACTGTACTACAATTTTGCTTATTTCCCCAAAGATGAGGATTATGTGTTCCCTTTTGTCACTACCGAAACAATGATGACATGTTTCGGTCGTGACTGTTTCGGTAGTGACACTTTTATGGGGTTCAGGACAGCCACCTACCAACTGAAAGTACCCAATAAATTATGATTTTATATATATTAAGCTTACTAATATTTTAAATATTATTGTAGGTTTCAATAGATAATGCTTAAATGCTTTTTAAATGTGTTTTTAGGTTGTGGTGGGATATATAACCTTCAGCAAGGAAACATTAATGTCAATAACATGTAATGACATCCGTTAAATGTCATTTATAAACCATACTAGGCAATGAGCAGTTAAAATGCCAACCAGCAGGGAATGCAGAGTTGCTTCCTGTTCAATCCAACTACTGTCATATCTATTTATTAAATTACACCAAAAACAAATCTTGAACAAATAAATAAAATAACTCTACTACGAACAAAACAAAGGACAAAAAGCAGTGCAATGATTATGAGGCTAGTAGTTGTATGAACCTGTAGGATGTTGACAGGCAGATCCACAGTGAGCTGAGAGTGTGAACACGAGGTCTGTGAACTCAACTGGAAAGCCAGGTCTCCATCAGAAGCAGGGTCATCCTACAACAAACACACTCAAATCAATATACAGAACTGAAGTGAGAATGCTATCAAATTTCCCCCCTCTGACCCTCCCATAGACAGCAAGGATATTACCACGATCAAGGCCCAGAAACATAGCAAGGAGATCGGCAAAATTATCCATGTGACATCAGGGGTTCAACCGTAATATTAATTTGTGTTCCGAAGATGAACGGAGGTCTTACGGGTTTGGAATGACATGAGGGTGAGTAATTAATGACAGAATTTTCATTTTTGGGTGAACTAACCATTCTATTTTCAGAAAGTTCAAGATCAACTCTTTACTACTAACCATAACAGAGCACGTGACCGAGGGCAAAAAAAAAAAAAACGACTTTATTCAACAATTTGTCTCCTCCGCAAGTCATAATTTTTTTTTCCTTTTGCACACAAGTATTCTCGTAGCTTCGTAAACTTACGGTTGAACCCCTGATGTCCCCTCTGTCCACTGTAGGATCCACTGTGGCTGGGGAACACAAACTGACACATCCCCTTACTGCCATCTGACTGAGCCATGACCTCCACCCTGCTTAACAAGGGCCCGACGGCTGTCTCACTGCCTGGCAGGTCAGCCTTTGCCTGCGGAGAGAGTAATTCCGGTACAGGGGTTGCCGTCAGAGCCATGGAGGAGAGCGGGGCGGAGAGAGAAGGAACAAGAGAGGAACTGAGTGCTGGCTGAAGAGCTGATGTCAGTGAGGAAAGAGACTGAGAGAGCGATGAAGAAAGAGTTGGCGTGAGAGTAGATGGTGATTCTACAGTCAAGGGATTGCAGGAATTCAGAGTGTGGAGTTGTTCTGAAGATGCAGTGCTTTGAATAGCTAGAGCAGTCAGAGTTCCCAGCTCTTCTGGGTTGACTGTTTGCACATCATCCAAATGCAATCTGGCATGGGGCAAAACCCCTCCACCTCCTCCAGCGCCCAATCCCGTGTCTAATACATGTACGCCCATATCTTGCCCAGCCGCTAAAATGAGAGGATCCACAGTTTTTGCCCCATTAAGGGCCGAGCCGACTGATGCTGGATCTATTGTGAGGATTCTGGTGTTAACCAGAGGCATGTCCATGGAGAAGGATCCTGCCCCAGTACTGCCTTCACTGCCTACAGCGGTGGTCCCAGGACATGCAGGGATGCTGGAGAAGAGAGAAGACAAATCCAGACTGCTGAGTTCAGCTCCTGCAGGTCCTGATGGGGCACTGACAGCCTGTGAAGTGCTTGTCAGCTCACTGCTGGGGGTGAGAGTGGTTGTGTCGTCCAACTGACCTAACACATATGCAGAAAGAGGAACAGAGCATAATCAGAATGACAGGACCCATAGCAAGTGTGCTGATAATTACATATATTAGGGGTGTAACGGTACACATATTCGTACCGGAAATTTTCGGCACGCATGTGTACAGAACAAATCATTAAATTTCTTCAGGAAATACAGACGATAAATGCCATTTTGGCGCTCCTTGATGAGGCGTGACAGATCGCTGCATAAAGGCCTTAGTTCTGATGGCAGCGCGGAGCGCGACCATCCCTTCATCTTTACTTGTATGGTGCGTCTCAATCAGCTCCCTTGTTCAGTAGTCAGGGCACTGATCAGGGAGTCGGCCATTTTAAGGGCTGTCTCAATCGTGAAATCCTTCCAGTGCACTGGAACGTTCGCTCCCTGAAAAATCCCACAATGCACCGCAAAAACTAGGGAGCATCGGAGCTCACTATGCTCCCTTACCGGAAAAAAACGTCACATTTCTGAAATGTAAAACAAATCACACGAGCCAACTTGATAAATATAATGACACGCTATAAGCTATTTTCCTCCTGCTGTACCGAAACCATACCGAACTGGGACGTCAAAACTGAGGTACAGTACATACCGAACTGTCATGTTTGCGTACCATTACACCCCTAACATATATATCAAATTAAAGCCCAGCACTAGGTTTATGGTTGTTGTCAAGAGAAATTACCAATCTGACTTTTCCCAGTAAGCTAAATACTAACTTCCTCTCTCAAAACTAAAGACATACTAGCCTGATTTTCTTCTACAAAACACAAAAAAGAGATTCTGCAATACCCATTCTGCGCATTTTTCCATCTCAAAAATATATCTAAATTACGACCTATTCTCTCAATGTCAAATGCAGAAATGTTAATCCATGCGTTTATGACCTCAAGGTTGTCACAATGTACTAAAGCCTAATGTCTTGCTACATAATATACATCTTGGAAGTTGTGTATATGGGTGTACCTGGGCTGAGGTTGTGGTGTTTAAGCATGTGTGTCTTGAGACTGCTGCGTGATGAGAAGTGCTTGGTGCAACCGGCAACAGGACAGCGACTCCTCAGACTGACTCCATCCTGCTTGTGCTTCTTAGAATGAATGTAGAGACTACTCCGAGCTGAAAACTTTGCATTACAACCTGAATATTAACATACAAAATGATAACAATTACAAAATTCAATCTAAAACAGCACTGTGATAAATACATTTACAGTCACCACAAGAAAAATGTCAGACATTTCATATGGAAAGTGATAGAGAATCTTAAAAATACAACATCCATGACTTTAACACACTGTACAATACAAAACATTTTTAGCTGATTAAATACAGCTAACCTGTAGCTGTTAAGGCTCTTTTGCACCAAGCATGAATATTCAGCACAAAAATAAATAAATAAATCACAGGGTTAAATTTTTTTCCCCCTTCAGCTGTCAATAAAAACGTGACCCTAACGCCGGTTTCACACTGAACACGCGCAAGCAGAGCACAGGCAGCGCCGAAGCGGTGCGTATGCAGAGCCACGGCTTGTGTACTGCAAATACAGACGAGTATCCTTCATTCGGTCCCACTTTTCAGGTGTTCTCCGACAACTGTCTGTCATGTGCTTTGATATGGGCAGCATGCTGTGATGCGGCCGTGTTCCCCTCTGTCACGTGCATATAACATGCTGTACATATAGTTTACATGATAAAAAGTCATCTTAAAGGTAATAAATGCCTCTAGTTTTAATAATTTAAACAGGTCTTTGAAGTTTGGGCAATAACTCCTGGCAGTGATGTGTTTTCGTGTAGTTGATTCTGTGCTAACTCTAATAGCCTATTTAATGTTTTTTTTTTAAATGTTGTAGATTTAAGTAGCAAATGAGAATTGCTAAAATTATTGAATATATTTTGAGACAAAGGTCTTCTTAATGAGTCCCACTTTGGTTTAAGATAATTAAAGGTGCAGTAGGAGATCTTGGAAAATGCTAACTTTAGCCTGATAGCACTGAAATCGAACATCCCACCCTCCCTGCAATCGCCGTCCAAAGCCACACCCCCTGAACGCATATACCTATTCATCAAAGAATCCTGAAAAAAAAATGTACTCAACTGTTTTAAATATTGATAATCAGCAAATCAGCATATTAGAATGATTTCTGAAGGATCATGTGACACTGAAGACTGGAGTAATGATGCTGAAAATTTACCTATGTATGATCACAGGAATAAATTACATTTTAAAATCTATTCAAATAGAAAGCAATTTTAAATAGTAAAAATATTTCAACATTTTACTGTTTTTGCTGTGCTTTGGATCAAATAAATGCAGCCTTGGTGAGCAGAAGAGAATTCTAAAAAAAAAAAAAAAAAAAAATTTATTTTTTAATGATTTAATTAATTAAATCATTAAAAATCTTACTGTTCAAAAACTTTTGACTGGTAGTGTAGGCTGATTATTCTTATAGATTGAAACAAATGTGCTTCAGCCAGAAAAAAAGGGTATGAAAAGTGCTCCGAGTCGCTGCAGAAAACAAAAAAATTGAACAACAAAAACTGGAAATGTTGCTGGAGACGGGCTTATTTAAAATGAAAACTCATGCTCTGCTAGCAGGAGGCGCTTTTAGAGTGATAGAACTAGCGGTTTCTCCAGTAATGGCTGTAATCAAAGCAGCTCCGCTCATGAATGCTACTTTTATCAGATCAAATGAAAATGCCATCTAAACTTTTCTGAAGACAGTCGGTTCCCTTCACAGATACATTTATATAAAACACCCGCGACGTGTTATGATTTTGAAACGTGCAGTGCTCATGTTTATTCAACGAAGTCAAATGGCACAAATAAATCAATGTATGGGAAACTGGTAATGTATATCGAAATATCGGAAATGTGTTTAAAAATCATATCACCGTTATTGAAAAAAATTATATCGCGATACATATTGATATTGAATTATTGTCCAGCCCTATTTAGACCACTTAACTTAATGATTGCTATCGGGATGTGAAGAGACTTTCAACCAGCATAACAACAAATTTTTCTGAAGACAATCACCTATTGCACCTTTAAAGCAACAGTTTTTCAATAACGAGAAGAATATGTAAAAGTATGGTATTTGGGGTAAAAAAAGCGCCCCTGCTGTTGGGGCGGAAAGGCACAATAATTAACATGATAATTAATAGATGGCTGACTTTTCCATTTGTTGACATGACATGGTTAGATTCAGATGGTAAATATCATATATTATGTTGGGTGTCCACCTTAGAGATAATCACCATGTTTATAATGAAACCATCATATTTAAAAACATGATATTAATCATATCATATAATAAAATAGAATTTGTTTTTACTACTATAAATATAAATTAAGTTATGAGATCTCCTTCAATGCTTTCAGAATCTTTACTTTTTATTTTGTTTCTGTATTTTAAAATATAACATTTAACATTTTAATGACAGTATATTTACTGAACATTATTTATCAAAATAAGCAGAAAATAGCCTAGTACGAACTTTGCTAAAGTGATTGTTTTGAACAAGTATTAACTTTGACATTATTTTAAAAAAAAACATTATTTTAGCTAAAGTATTTATCAATACTGTGTGCCTTTTACCCCATGCTGGTGTGCCTTTTACCCCATGATTGTGAAACACCTCACTTACATGATTTTATGGTGAAATTGTTATTTTTCATGTTAATCAGGTCAATTTTGAACAATAACAATGCACTATGGCTTTAATCCAGCGTAAGCGGCGCAGCAAAAATAGACTTGGTGCCGAAACGATCTGACGCTTCTGCTCTGCTCCTGCTACGCGCTGCCTCTGCGTTGCGGTGTGAATGCTCTAATCTGTTAACATGGGCGCCGAAAAAAATACGCGCTGTTTATGCGCTGCTTATGCGTGTAGTGTGAAGCCGTGTAAGCCCAGATCTTTTTGGTTGCCATACACGGACATTAACTAAAAAACTAACATGTGGCTAAACTAACAATGGCACATGCCACTGACCACCATCAGATTCAGAAGAGGCATTGAAGACGCAAGTGGAACTCCAAAGCCAGTGTTTTCAATTTTTGGGCTTTGATTCTTTACTCGCATCAATATTATTTTTGTCTCTGTTCTATTATTAACAAGCATATACTAGTTCTTGAACATCCTAAATACTGACCTTCTACAGGGCATTCAAATGGCTTGGTACCCAGGTGTGTGATACTGTGCCCCTTCAGGTGCTCGGCCCGTGTAAAGGATTTCCCGCAGCCTTCCTCTGGACATGCAAACCGTCTGTCATCATCATGCTTCCTGTGAATGAAGATCAACACCTAATGAATCACTTTCAGCAACATGTTGAACAATATGTACTGTATTTTGAAATTACGTTATATTTTTAGGCTTGTTTGCCTTTATTTTGTGAGAACAGCAGAGAGAGAGGATATACAGTGAACATGTGCATGCATGTATGGGTATAAGAGGGTCAAACTTATCCTCCTCACCGTTTGTGCCTGAGCAGTTTGGACATGCTTGTGAAAGTCCAACCACACGAGTCAGAATCACAAACAAATGGTCTTTCACCTGGGAAGGAAAAGTGAGAGAGGGATGTTAGAAAACTGAAGTAATATTACTTTAATCCAAGTATCTGCTTATTTGTTCACCTGTGTGACTGCGGAGGTGTATTTTGAGCCGACAAGCTTTGTCATATCGCTTGTCACAGCCAGGATAGGTACAAGTGAATTGAGCCATTTCTCTGAAGTGGGTCCTGTTGTGGGAGAACAGGGCACTGAAAGTGATGAAGGTCTTCTCACATCCTGAGGAGGCACAGAAACACCAAAATCAAGTTGGTATTACTACCTGTAATATTGCTTATTACCAACTTTGGCCTAGAAATCAGTTAAGATATCAATTCAACTCACCTGGGAACTCACACTTATGTGGTCTCTCTGGTTCGAAGTGTGTTCTCTGATGATTAGTGAGTCTCGTGGCAGTGCGAAACCTCTCACTGCATACTTCACAGATAAATGCATTTTCCTGATCATGTGCTTTAACATGAGCTTTTAGATTGTAAACTGTGGTGAAGCGACGACCACAGTTTTCCCATTCACATTTATAAGGACGCACTTTGTCATGAGACTGCAGGTGGCGTTTCAGCTTGTATGATGTTGTGAAGGACCAATCACAACCCTCCACTGTGCACTTGAAGGGACGCTGGTCCTCTGTGTGAAGAACCAAGTGGATTTTGAGATTTTGCCTGGTATCAAAGGTGCTGGAACAGCCCGGCTGGGAACATCTATACTTTACTACAGAACCTTTTTTGGTCAAACCTGACACAGTTAATAAGTTTATTGGTTGTAGTTGTTCACAAGTACTTGGTTTGCTTTTTGAATTTTGGCAAATACTACTATCATCTTCTATAGCACAAACGGTTCCTTCTTGCTTAATTGATGAGCAAGAGTCCAGAGTAACACCCATTTCTAACAGAGAACAGTCAGCTAGATTCAACTCTGAATCACTGCCGGCGAATCTGGCTTTAGGCTCATCTTGTAGACTTGAGTTAACATTGCTAATTTTCCCAATGGACTTACTTCCCCCATCATAATTGAGCAGCACAAGATCTTCATTGTCTTTCATTCCCAAATGTTCTTTTAAGCTTATCATACCATCCTCCTTGTAAGCGCAGCCCTCTGGTGGGGTGGCTAGGGTCAAGATTCCATTTTCAATAGTTACAATAATACTCTGATTGTTAATCATGATGGTCCCAGAGAACGTTTCATGCACAGGTATTGGAGTCCCATCAGGACCACAGTCCCCATTACTGCTGGACTCTTGATTTGCATAATCCATGATATTAATTTCAGATGCAACCCTGCTCTCTGGAACAAACGCAGGACTATTATATTTTGTGACACACTGCATCAGTTCTTCTGTTGAATGTTCAACTAAATTATTGCTGAGCATTTCTACAGTAGAGACCTTTGGCGTTTGACTGCCCCTAGCATAGCCTTCTGACAATATTGGATCTCTATTCTCAGCCAAAAGACAGATCTCATGTCTAACAATTTGGTCTGTTGTCTCAGATCTGGAATTTAAATTACTGTGGCTTGACAAATGTCCCGATTTGGATGTTCTGTTGAAGTTTTCATCTGAATATACTGGGGAACTGAGAGTCTTGGGTGATGATGATCCATTCACTTCAGCTTTGTGTTGAAAGCTCATTTGTCGTTCCTTACTGTCATCTTCTTTGTGCACTATGTTAAAAACCACATATAGTTCCTCGGGGCTCTTGTTTGAGGAGGTAGAGGTGTTGCTGAGAATCCTCTCTGTCGTGAGTCTTTGTTCACAGCTCTCGGTGTCCAGAAGGGGAAGCGCCATTTGCAGATCGTTGTCATCGTGTTCAACTGCCCTGTCAAACTCGGAAGGCAGCAAGTCTAACTCATTAAACACCCTTTGTTTGGACGCATTCACGTCACCGAGTTCTGCATCTGCGAACTGAACATCATATTTCTTACCGTGGTTGTTTTGAAGAGACAGAGCGCTGCCATTTTCTGCAACTCGAAGCGGTGAGGATCTGGCCCGGTTGTTGTTGGCGTCACTTTCTAAGTCCAGCGATCCCGAAAGTCCTGAGATCACATTTTCAGTCAGACGTGTTCTCGCATGAATCGCAGAAGCTGTTGTCTGCTGAGAGAATGTCGTGTGGAGCGGGACGCCATGTTGGGACTGGGTGTTTTTGGTGTCAGTAAGCCCCTGGATTTCCATCTTAGTGTCCCTGTAGCAGCAGCACATGAAAGCTCCGCCCTTCACATATGAGAGCCCGATCCTGATAGGCCGGTATAGATATTGTGTCATACCCATAGGTCATACCAAACACATATTTCAAGATCCTCGACAAAAAAAAGAAGAAAAAAAGAAAAACAGAAATTGATCTCACTCTCCTTGATGATTAGCAGTTTTTGGTTACATTTATTTAATTAAAAGGAGCTTTCAGTTATTTCGTTGAGTGCGATGAAAATATTGGGATAACATGAACAATTATCTCATTGGCATTAACTGAAAACAGCATTAAGTGTGTTTTGAGCAAGATGAAAAAAGGGGAATGTGTTAGTTTTTGATGATTTATTGAGTTTCAGAATTTAGAAGAGTTTCTGTTTGGGATTTAAATAAGGCTTGTGCTTAGGCTAAAGAGAAGTAGGTGAAGAACCCTGCTGGAAAACCCAAGCCTAAAACTGGTTTGCTGGCTTAATCAGGGGCAAGTTCAAGCTCAAACCGGTGTGCACCGTTTTGCTACGGTTTCCGGGTTGAACGACATGTTTCCTGGAAACGGTGTGCAACGGGGTTTGAGATACGTTTTCTCTTGTTTGGTGGGTGTGTCAAAAATGTCAGCCCAATCAGCAGCAACATGTATGTAAACCACGCGGTATTAAAGAGACAGCTTGCACAATGTAATTAACATCCAAATAAATTCACAAGAGCAAGTATATTGTTTGCACATGTTTATTTACATTAAAGGCAAAATAACTAGTATATAACTAACAAAAACGTTTTGCACCGTTTTTGTCGGGGCTGAACGCAGCCCTGGTCTTCTGGCCTGACCAGGCTGGAAAACCAACTGAGACAAGCAGCTTAGACTGGTTGAAGTGTATTTTTTCCTTTACTCCAAAACAGTTGTTGAAAATAACAGTGAAGTGATCACTACATCAAAATGTTCCACACTGTTTAGTAATTAAAGTTAACATAATTTAACATGCTAATGTGCATTACTGTAAGAGCTTTTTCTCAGCAAAGAGAAAAAACAAGGTGAATGCAATCATAGGTTTAAAACTGATAATACCAGCTACATATGAATGTTTTACATGTTTTGTACATTACATATTCTGCAAAACCTTAAACAAGTTTAGGCAGTTAGACTGTGCAAATCTCATGCACTTTTTTTTTTTTTTTTTTTTACAAAACACTAACATTCTCAGTCAGTAAAACACAATTTGCATTGTGTTGAACTTGTGATGCAAAACCATAGACACAACAAAGCAGAAGTTAAGCACAATTGCAACACAGCTGTCGTCATTTACACACAATGATTAAAAATTATTCACACTTGTTTCTAAATATGTGATCAGAATGTACAGAATATAAGCCAGTTCAAAGTGCACAGATGGCATGGGTGCATCCATCAACAATGGATAACAATTTGAGAGGTAGAGAAGAGTGAGTATATCAGAATCAGAATCAGAATGAGCTTTATTGCCAGGTATGTTTACACATATGAGGAATTTGTTTTAGTGACAGAAGCTCCACAGTGCAACAGAATGACAGTGACAAGACAGGATACAGATAATAAAAAGAATTCCAGTATAATTCCTCTTTGCCACTCTGATCTCCTTTTCCAGTGTGTATTTGGCCTGTTTATACAAGAATCTGTCCCCATTTCTGCAAGCATCTTCTTTGGCCTGACGGAGCTGTCTGAATTTTGCAGTAAACCACGGTTTATCATTATTAAATGATAAGAATGTCCTGGTAGGAATGCACATGTCTTCACAGAAACTGATACAAGATGTTAGTCTCTGTGAGCTCGTCCAGATCGGTGGCAGCAGCTTCAAAAACACTCCAATCAGTGAGGTCAAAACAAGCTTGTAAATCCTGCTCTGCTTCATTAGTCCATCTTTTTACAGTCCTTAATACAGGTTTAGCTGATTTCAGTTTCTGCCTGTAGGTCGGTATAAGATTAACTAAACAGTGATCAGAGAGCCCCAAAGCTGCCCGTGGAACAGAGTGATATGCATTCTTTATTGCTGTGTAACAGTGATCCAAAATAGTGCTGTCTCTGGTGGGACACGTAATGTGCTGCTTGTATTTTGGCAGTTCACGGGAGAGATTTGATTTGTTAAAATCTCCAAGAATGATTAAAATAGAGTCTGGGTACCTTTGCTCCATTTCAGTTATTTGTTCGGCCAGCTGTTGCATCGCGGCGCTCACGCACGCGTCCGGAGGCACGTACACATTCACGAGAATGAAAGAGGAAAACTCCCGCGGCGAGTAGAAAGGTTTACAGTTTATGATGAGTGCCTCTAAATTAGGACAGCATACCTTTTTCAGCGTTGTTACATCTGAACACCAACGTTCGTTGATGTAGAAACACAATCCACCTCCTCTGGTTTTCCCCGTTAACGGATGCGATCCGTTCTGAACAGCTGGTAGCCCGGCAGATGAAGCGCGTTGTCCGGAATGGCTTCACTCAGCCAGGTTTCAGTGAAGCACAGTGCAGCAGAGTTTGAAAAGTCCTTGTTGGTGCGGGTGAGGAGAAGAAGTTCATCCGTTTTGTTAGGAAGGGAACGGACATTCGCAAGATGAATGCTTGGGAGCGCAGTCCGAAAGCCGCGCGCGCGGAGCTTCACCAGGGCGCTTGTTGTAAGTTAGATGAGTCCTGGTAGGAATGCATATGTCTTCACAGAAACTGATATAAGATGTTACAGTCTCTGTGAGCTCGTCCAGATCGGTGGCAGCAGCTTCAAAAACACTCCAATCAGTGAGGTCAAAACAAGCTTGTAAATCCTGCTCTGCTTCATTAGTCCATCTTTTTACAGTCCTTAATACAGGTTTAGCTGATTTCAGTTTCTGCCTGTAGGACGGTATAAGATTAACTAAACAGTGATCAGAGAGCCCCAAAGCTGCGCATGGGACGGAGCGATATGCATCTGCCTGCGAGGAAGATGAAGTCCTCTGGATGAACCCAGCTCTAAGACATGATCCTGAGGCAGAACAAACATACATACATACATAGATACATACATTCATTCCTTTTTGAGAGAAACCTGTTTGTTGGTATATTCACCAAACTTAGGTGTGATTTCTTCTGGGTTTTTTTAATTGCAAAATGTTTACTATATACAATTAAAACATTTTTTATAACTACAGTATGTGAGCCTGGACACTGTGTTCTCCATTTTTTGATGTATTGTCTAAAGAATAATCTGTAGTGCATGTATTATTGACTAATGTGTATATGATCCATCACTGATGTGTATAGGATCAGCTTTTCCTGTACCAGGTTTACAAATTCGAGCCATTTCTCGAAGACATAAAGGGTATAATTCCCAGTTCTTCTTCTTGGATCCCATTCTTTAACACACACACCCCACAAACAGTTTAAAATACAATTAAAATTTTATATAATGATACATAATTATATAATATATAATAATAAAAATTAAGATTTTTATTATTAAAAATCTTATTAATAAGATTTTTAATTGCAATAATAAACTGGAATAATTCTAAAATTGCATAGCTCCAGATGTCGGTCAGTACCTTTTCCCAAAAGGCATGTCAGTAATGATGATATCCACTGAACTGCAGTTTAGGAATGAAGTGCTCCCCAAGGCTGCATTTATTTGACCATTAACTCAGTTTTGTGAAATATTATTACAAATTAAAACAACTGTTTTCTATATTATTATATTTTCAAATGTCTTTTATCCCTGTGATGCAAAGCTAAATTTTCTATATCATTACTCCAGTCTTCAGTGTCTTCAATGTCGTGTTTTTCAACAAAATTAATGTTTTGTTGTGTTCTATATATAATTAGGGGTGTGCGATATTGACAAAAAAGAATCTCTATATTTTCTTGGATTTTATCGATAACAATAATTAGATGATATTTCGCTGAGTGTGTATTTTGCTACCGTGGACAGCTGACTCCTAATGTTTTTGATATTCTTCATATTCTGTGTGGTGGTCATCTTTTTTAATCTTTTTCAACAAGTTTAAATTTACTTTTACCTTTTATGGGCATTTTTACCTTTATAAAGCCATTTTTCTAAAAGTGTGCATTATCTTTTGAGTCAAATTCTTACATTTAATCAGTGAATTAGAATAATAAGACATTTGGGTTGTTACCAAGCAAATGAAATCAGTATCAATAAAATGAATCTTTGCAATGCAGAGGAAACACAGAAGCTACATCTGAATTGGCATTTAGATGTATTTATTATACTGTTTAGTGCAGAACATGAATGCTTAACCTGCAATTACAAATGCATAGATAATGTTCTGATATATTAAACATAAAACGTTGAATGTTATTTGAAATTATTTAAATAATTTACAAAAACAGGCAATAAGGTGTCTAAAACGCAAGTCTCTTAATTAACTTCTTGTTTTTTGAACTGTTGTAAAAAAAAAACAATATTACGTTTGTAATCATGGTAATTTTGGAGAAAGAAATGGCACTCTTTGTGCGATATTGATATGAAATGATATAAATATATACATTTTCTGTCCCCATATCTTGAATTTTGTGATCGTTCTAAATGCATTTTAATAGACTGAATCATGCAGTGAAAGAACACTCTAAATGCGCACGCACACTAGTCTAGACTTCACGTAATGTGTGCGTGCAACTCTGTAGAGGGGTTTTGAATAGTTTTTGCTAAATACTCGATAATGTCAATTTTCTGTCAATATGGGGTGCTGTGTGTACATTAATGAGGAAAAAAAATTAACTTAAATGATTTTAGCAAATGGCTGCAATATAACAAAGAGTGAAAAATTTAAGGGGGTCTGAATACTTTCCGTACCCACTGTATATATGTATATATATATATATATATATACACACACACGTCACGTCGTTATTAATATCTTGTGATCTTATGTGATGTTTTCCCCCTTATAGTGCGTTTTATTAAAACAAGGAAAAAAATAAATGTTACTAACTGGAATACATGTTACTATAATAAAAAGTTTAGGTTGAAGTACTAAAATTACTAAAACTAAAATTGTAATAATAAATAAAGCTAAAGAAATGTATATAAAAATGATAAAAAAAATACAAAAGCACATAAAATGATCTCAAAAAATGAAAAATGAAACCTAAAAATAACCTAATTCAAAATATAAATACAACTATAGTATATAAATAGTACTAAGTAATAGTAAAAGGTTGACTGGACACAAGCTTCCTTACCTTCCTCCATCATGTGTTCTCTTTAGAATGTGCTTGATATTATTGACAGATCGGCTGACTGCTGTGCCATTGTTGTCTCCAGCTAAAAAGAATGAATTCTGCCACTCCATAACTCCCTGTTAAAAAAAGAAGTTAATAATTCACCTCTTATGAAAGAGAAATATACAGACTGAAAATGTAGCAGTTGAATTAATTTTACAAACCTCTAAAGGTATTGCTCCAGTTCCGCACATGGGATCTACAATCACATCTGACACTTGTGGCTTGCAAAGTCTGAAATATATACAGTATATATATAAAAAAAAAATCAATCAATACAATCAGAGACGCAATTGTTTTCTTTCTTACATTTCCTTCAATCTATAAGCATTACAGGTACACAGGTTCACATATCATAAATATACAACTATCACTACAAGAGTCTATGTTTTGAGAGGGGTATGCACATTAAGTTTGGCATGTGAATGAATCTTGTTCATCTTGGAGAAGAATCTGTTTTGTCATTATTTGTGGTGATAACAGCCATGGTGTTTAGTAGCTTTGGGAGATTTGTATTCATGCAAATTGTACTATGTCCTAATTTTAAATAATAGTACTCCAGTCTTCAGTGTCACATAATCGTTCAAAAATCATTCTAATATGCTGATTTGTTGCTCAAGAAACATTTCTTCTTATCCAAAGTGAAAATACTTGTGCTGCTTAATATTTTTGTGGAAACTGTGACACACTATCATTCAAAAGTTTGGGGTTTTAATCACTAAAAACTTTTTTTTAAATTGATCAAAAGATATTAAAAATATTATAAAAGGTTCATATTTTAAAATAAATGCTATACTTTTCAACTGTTTAAAGGATCATGTAACAGATGTCTGGTGTATAGCTGCTGAAAATTCATCTTTGCAATCTCAGGGATAAATTTAAAATATATTCAAATATAATAGTTATTTTACTGTTTTACACTATTTATGATCAAATAAATGCAGCCTTGGTGAGCATAAGGGACTTCTTTCAAAATTGTTAACTTTTGACCACTAGAGTACTTCCAGAATAATATTATTTTTGTATTATATTTTAATATTCGCTATATTAATAATAAAATCATTGTATAAACTGTAAAAAAAAAAAAAATAATAATAATAATACAACACAACAGAGCAGCCCCTGCAATAACGGCACTTCCAAACAACAGGAGTGGTATTGTGACACTTTATCTAGTATAGTACCATGAGGTAAAATTATGACATTGTGACAACCCTATTGAAATGATTGCAAGCAATACTTTACATGAATGTTGCTTACCTAAGCATGCCATAAGCCAGTGTAGAACGTAGAGTAGTCGGGCCAAAGTGAGTGATGTTTCTCCTATGTAGACTCTCCACTGTGAGAGCAATACCAACAACAACTTCATTATTGTGGATATTCAACAGCACCTAGTAAATAAGAGAGAAACACATTTGTTACAACCACTTTTTTACTGAACATTTATTACTACTTTACACAACACCACACTGGACTGCAATACACTACATACATACACACACACACACACACACACACACACACAGACATATATATATATATATATATATAGGCTAAAAAATCTTAAGGCTAAAAGTAGGTCCTAACTTGACGATTTAAGAGAAACTCTTAAAAATAATGGGTGTGTTAGTCCTAATTTTAGGACTCTTAAAATTGGGGTCTAAGAGTATTTCACAAAGCATTTTAGTTCTACAACCAGCTCCTAAATCTATGAAAAGTTAGGAGTGGTCAAGAGGACTCCTAACTCACTAAGACCAAATCACAAGCAATCCTAATATGTTTGCAGCAGGCAATCTGCCTTGGAACATAAACATTTTAGAAAGATTTCACAATAATTTCCCTTTAATTTAATTGTCCTGTCCTTCATGTACAAGCTGGGCAAGAGTTAACAGGTGTTCTTGCATCTACTTTAGTTTTCTTTTGCACAAAATCTTAATCAGCCGTGATTATTCCTGTCTGTTAAATAAAAGGCTGCTTATATGCATATATGCTTATTGTTTATGAAAGACAGACATCTAAGTGGCTGACAATTCGCTGAACGTATACTTGTTTAGTGACACTTTTTAAAAATTTACATTTTAAATTTATTTGAATATGCCAACATTTTTCTTTTAAAATCTTTATTTGAATATGGCAACATGATACCTTGCTCTACAATATTTCTGATTAAATCACTGAGAGACCCTATCCTCTATTAGCCAATCGCTTTAAGCTTGTTGACATCACCCCTAGCAACGAGGCCAACCCCACCCTTTCTCTCTTAGCTTAGGTTTTCTCCCCATTCCTTAGTAAAAGTCGGTCTCAGCAGCTTTGTGAATAGGTTTCAAGATGAAACTCTTACCTAAGAACTTTTATTGCTTTTTGGGAGAACACTTAGTGATAAGACAAAATGTTTTGTGAACACAGCCCCTGAAATTTACCTCAACATCAAATTTAGTCATATCTGCTTTCCACTGAAAGAATTCTTGCACAGCTCCTCCAAAGTCTCGTGCAGCATCATTTGAGGTGAAGCAGTGTTTGTCTCCGGCTCTGTTGCATGTTACTCGAAACTTAAGAGGTGTCACCCCTGACTCCTGATCCTGGATTTCAGAGTGTTTTTCTTCCTCAGAATCATTTTCTGGCTGAGAAGAAACATCTCTTTGGTTTCCCTTCACTTCTAGAGCCTCAAGATCTTCCCAGAGCTCTTCTGGATCTGATGGGACAGTATCAGTTGATTTGGTGCCAACATTGCCACACTGATCTGATTTTGTGGGGTTAGTTCTTTTCCGACGTCCTTTCTTCTTTTTTATAGAATTGTTCAACTTCCAGACTTCCAAGGCACTGGTCCAAGGCAACTTGGCGGCCAGCTCTTGCCAATCCATTTGCACTTCCTCCTGTTAAATAAGCATTAAACAAATAATTTGCAGTGCTAAATAATCCAATAAATAAATATTGAAACTGGTGGAGTTTGGTGGAAAGCACATCATTGAGAAATGCGTATAGTTTTTTAAAAATAACTACTAAAATATTGAACATACCTTTGTGGTTTTGAATTGGTAGTCGTCATATTCTTTTACCACAACAAACAGATTGTCTAGAGACTTCAGCTGATGTACCTTTGGATATAAATGAATATATATGAAAATCACATGACAATTTGAAGGCAAACAGACAGTGCTGCTTTATTCACTCATGCAGTGTCAAACCAATATGACTTTTTCCATGAAACACAAAAGTAGAAATGTTCAAGAACTGTACTGGTCATTTATTTCAAAGCAATTAACAAAGAATATTGTCTGAGGCTTTTAAGTTTAAAAGGATGCATAAGCACCATAAAAGTATCATAAATGTCTTTTGACACAAGAGTGCATTGTCTAATAAAACCATACTGTAAGTTTTGGAACTCAGAACTTCCTCCCTAGCGCAAAAAAAAAAAAAAAAAACGGTAATTACTAAAACACATCTAGGACGAGAACTTTTCTTTTACATCTTACAACATATTACATTGTTTGTTATCACTCTCAAAAAATAAATAAATAAACTGCAAAAGGTTACACTTTATTTTAAGGTGTCCTTGTTACAGTGTAATTATACATTTAAGTACTGAGTAATATTAATTAACTACATGTACTTACTAAATGTTTAGGGTTAGGCTTAGAGTTACTTGCATGCAATTATGCAAAATTAATTATTATAATAGTAATTACATGTAACGTGTAAGAAGGACACCTTAAAATAAAGTGTTAACCTGCAAAAATAACTAAACTAAGGTCACGATGTGTAGTTAAGGTACAAAGTTGTCTCTTTTAAGGTGACAAGTGACAAGCTACTGTACACCTAAAGGTACAATTTTTGCATATTTTTTTCGAACAATGTAAACGCAAGCCAGATTGACGCCATTTATCATTGAGACATGGTTCATGTGTTTTTGGGTTCATGTGCCTTACAATGAGCACCACATTTGTGAGTCAAGTTAAAAGATCAAGCCATGTCTCCATTCCACTGGAACAGTGGTTCTCAAACCTGTCCTGGAGTACCCCCAGCCCTGCACATTTTGTATGTCTCCCTCATCTATCACACCTGATTAAACTCATCAGCGGAGACTGCAAGACCTGAAGTGGGTGTGTCAGTTATAGGGAGACATAATGTGCAGTGCTTAGGGTACTTCATGGAGAGGTTTGAAAACCCCTGTATTAAACCATTTATGTAGTTTTGTTCGCTTGGCTGTTTCCTTATACAAGTCCAGAAGTTTGTCAAGTTTTTCGTCAGGTGTCTTTTTTAATAATGACGTCATTAGGTTGCTGTCTTGCCGCCAGCCAATCGCTGCATTGCTGATCGTTGTTTCAAGTATCGATACATCAGTCCTTTTCGAGGAACATGCCGTAATCTTAGACAACTTAATCCAGATATTTTAATCAAATCCACAAATTCGTTTGAAGAACCAAATTAGCCAGAGATCAGTTATCACGATTAGAAGATCTGGCATCTATCAAATCATCTTAGATGTATTTAGCGAGGTACGAAGAACGGGCCCCAGAGCTCTAATCACATGTTGAGTGTTTGATAACATCGTAGGTAGATCTGTCAATTCCACTGTGGAGAAAATGATTAGGATTTTTATGTCTGGAACCTGACTGTTGCGCTCCATCTTGTGGACACAAGCATTAAGTCTTAGGAAAATAATAATAATAATAATGCACAAACAAATAATGCTGTATTGTATTTGAAAACATCTGTGTTGTGTGTAAAATGATTAAAAACTCTATAGCAGGGGTTTTCTAACCTCTCCATGAAGTACCCTCAGCACTGCACATTTTGTATGTCTCCCTATATCTGACACACCCACTTCAGGGGCCCGTTTCAGAAAGGAGGTTAAGTGAAAACTCTTTCAGTATGTTAACCCAGAAATGAGGGAAACTCAAGAAAAATGATATAGCCTAAGATGTTTATTCTTGTTTCCTGGGGGAAACAAGTGCATTTAAGTGCATTTTACTTAGTAAAATTATCCGCCATGGGGTAAGAAAAATCATCTTAATGCAAACGTAAACAAGATTATTTTTTGTTTCCCCCACCTCCCCCTGTCAAACACCAGACACCGTCAAAGTGGCAAAAATGGCATGTCCTTTTATACTGTAGATGAGGAGGCTGTATTAATTCGTAGGGAGTCACATTTTTATGTGCCATATCCACATGCATATTTATTTGGTAGTTTTCTATATTGGGGATGCGGAGCACGTTAGTAAGGCTGCTGTATTCAGAGCTGTAACGAAGGTGTGCCTCGCTGACGTTCACTTGATAACATCTTGCGGCGACCTCTGGAAGTAACCCAATAATTAGAATTTCCTTTAGAATTTCCAGTGTGGTTGGATGCATTGATGACACGAATATTCCCATCAACGCACCTTCCGAAAATGAAACATATGGAATGGAAGGATGCCATATGGAAGTGTAGTCCGAGATATATGCTGTAACCACCACCACAGCTGTTACATAAACACAAATTATGCACAATTTATTTGGTCATCTTTATTTCCTACAAATACAAAAGCAAGAGTTAAAGCTTTTTTTTTTTACTGTTGGATTTTAGTATTTTTCCAATACTTGGTATTATGGCCATCTCCTCTTCATCTGTTCTTCATTATTTTGCGAGTCTTCTTGCTGTTGACTGAGTAGAAGTCCAATGTTAATTTCATTACTCTAATTAATAAATGTAACAGGCTGGATTAGAGAATCTTTAATTGTGTGAAAAGATTAGACTATGTGAAAAGATTAGAGTACGTGAAAAAAAAAAAGCTGCTGCACACTGAATTAAATTTATTTAATATCAAATGAGTGATTCTATAATTGCAGGTACATTTGGTGTCCGAAGTCATTATTTTTTTTTTCTGCTTTTTTCAAATGGTTATATTTAATTATTTTAATACCGTGTTACTCATTGTTATGAATTACAAGATGTTACAGTCCATAACAATATAATATTTTTTGCAAAAAGTGTTTTAAATGAAAATGAAATGAAAAAATGAAAAAATCATGATTTCTTGTTGTCCGAATTAGTCAGTGCATTTTTTCCATCATGTATCGTGTACTCAAAATATTTTATTGTACTTTTCTTTTTGTAATATTTCATTCATTTTATTTATAAAAGCCCTAAAGAGTCATTTACCTAATTCTACAACATTATTATTTTTTTTAAATAACTTTTTTCTTATAAAAATGTGTGTCTGTAAATCTTGCGTCAACTCTGTTACCGTACCAGTATCTTTGCCTTTAAATTAGTGGAATTATCTCTCACAACTATGTAAGATACAGGAAATGGTGTCACTTTCCCTCACTGTTAAGATCTGAAGCACTGAAAAGTCTATGTGCTCTCTCTAAGAAAATATTGAAGATATTGCAAATCTTCCCACATCGTGACGTAGACATGTGGGGGCGTGTTAGAACGAGCTGTTTTAGGTAGGCGTGGTTGACTCTTAACTTTTATAAAGAATATCTCTTTGGATTTGAGACTTTAGTCTTTGCAACTTTACAGATCTTCTTTATGTACCAAGAGCTTGTAACACTTCAAAGAGAAAGGAAAAATTGAAAATCGCATCATATGACCCCTTTAATGTCTTGTACCTTTAAGAGTGTTAAATATGGTGTCACGTGGATGGGAATATGCATAGAAATGATATGCAGATGAGGTTATGCATAGTAAAACTTGGCTTGTTAGCTCCATATATGGTGATTTCGGGGAGGAGTCGGGGTGGAGATGCATGTACGCACAATCTTCCTCTGACTGGGATTTATTAAGGGATTTTTGCGCAGGTTCTGGCGTATGCATGGTTTTATAAACCTGTAAACTTGTGTGCGTACGCAAAATCTAGCTTTTTTGCATATGTACACTTTTAGGATGAAATTTACGGAGAGTTTTATAAATGAGACCCCAGATGAGTTGAATCAGGTGTGATAGATGAGGGAGACAGATGCTGCGTCTTCATTTTACTTCAATGTACTTATACTACGCCCTTAAAGTATGTACTCTTTTGGTGAAGAAAAAGTACACACTTTTGAGTGTGTAGTAGAAGAGTAGGCAAGCTTTGGGACACACTATCATGTCACACAATTGCGTCTAAAGGACGGCTCCTCCACGTTGCATTTCATTTAACTTCCTACCGTATTGGAGAGAAAGGTAGCACATTGATCTGCCAGTCGCGGGTCTTTCAAGCCAAGAACTCTGCTCATATTTTATGCATAATGATGCATTTAAAAGTTAACGACCAAACGGATGTTTATAAAAGTTTACATTGCTGTTGCAGATGAAACATAACACGGATAACATTAAATACATATGTTTTACCAGGTTAAATGTTGAATATTAGTAACTCAAACCCCTTTTTCTAAGTCTACCTAACCACCGGTCGCGCACATCCGCCATGTTTGTAGTTTTTTAACGCGTTTTAATCGTGTTTGTAGTTCTGGACAGAATCCTTCACCAAAGCGCAATGAATTGTGGGCAATATTAGCCATTAGAGTGTGCACGGATCCACACTTCAAAAATCGACCTGAAATAGTAGACCATCCACGGACTTTTGGCATACTCTTTTCAACATATTATGCTTTGGGACCCACTTATTCTAATCTCACATACTATTTAGGATTGATAGTATGAACATTGAGACGCAGGGATACAAAATGTGCAGGGCTGGGGGTACTCCAGGACAGGTTTGAGAACCACTGGTATAATAGATAAATGAAATGTGCACTGCTTTTATTTAAATGACTTTTTTTTTTACATGATTCCCAATTATTTATACATTCACAATTTCTAGTATTTGTACAGGCTTTACATTATTATTTCAATGTTGTAATAAGCAATTCATGTAATTTTATCTTTGAAACAGATTTGTTATGAAGTGAAGTGAAGTGACATGTAGTTCATGCACGTAGCTCACTTCTAACGAGCTGGTTATCTGAATCGGGTGTGTTAACTAGCGAGACATGCAAAATATATGCAGAGCCCGGGATTGATTGGACGAAAATTTCTTTGCCCTACGCCTTCCACAGAATATATAAATACAGATAAAGACATTTAGACCACTTAACTTAATTATTGCTATCGGGATGTGAAGAGACTTTCAACCAGCATAACAAAAAATGTTTCTAAAGAATCACCTATTGCACTTGTAATGCACGACTCTACATTATCTGTATAACGTGTGTAAGACTTTAATACAATTATGAAGTAATTATTTTATGACGAATAAATCTTTCAGCGAGTAAAACTGGCTGTGTCTATACTATTATAGACTACACAACATTATATTATTTTTCAATTAATTTTTAAATTATTATTATTTTAAATTACTGTCCCTGGATCAGTAGGGTACTCTTCTAATAAAGTAGCAGTGGCTGGGACAGATTTTAGCATCACTTCTGCTTAAAAAGATGCGATCTAATCCTGTTTACATGAAATAAGCCTGCTCCTGAGCAGGTTTAAGTTTATGGACCTGTTGCTATGACAGCAACTCGGGGATGAGCTTTGAAAAACCAAACAATCCAAGATAAAGGCAAATCGTCAACAAATCCAGCTGAGTTACCGACGTACGAAGAACGGACCCCGGCTTGTTTTTCGATCATTTACATTTTTTTTTATTATGTTGCTTGCATTGGGATTGTATTTCATTCCTTCAATAAAAATGGTAATTATACGGAGTCTTTTACTTTTGTGGTCCGGTGAAGTTTTATTTATTTGCTTGAAATAAATGTTTGCAACGTTGTGATTCACGTCGTAGTAATTTAGCTGGTTGGTTTGTTTATGTCACATTGCCTTTTTTTTTAAGCCCTATGGGAAAAAAATGAGAATGCACGTATTTTGTACACACCAAATAGCTTTATTGAAAGTTTTTTTGTCCGGGCTTGCTGAAAAATATAGCGTCATGTGTTATTCTCAAAAAGCTTCACACTATGCGGCATGCTTTTAATGGCACGTGTTACTGAAAACCGGATGTCCCACTGGCGGCTTCTGTACGTGTTATATGCCATGCCAGTAGTGTTAAACAGACACTTGATTTCAGAGCCTCATTGTCGATACAAAATGCCAAGTTATGTGAAACAAACGAGAGTACGACTGACCTTAAGAAGCTTGTCTGTTGTTATATCAAAATAAATTCTTCCTCTGTTTTTGCTGACTCTAGCAGTGGCCTCAAGCTTCTCCTGGACCTCCTCAGCTGCAGTGTGCTCGAATCCGGTCGGAACAGTCGCTCCGATTGTGACAGCCTGATCAAGCTCCTGCATTATCAGCCCCAAATAAACTGCAATAGAGGAAATAAAAATACACCAGACACTACTACTGGTAGAGTTTTTCCTGATAATATGACTTAAGCCTAAAGTACTTTAGACATCGACTTGCAACGTTTGTTAAAGAATTTAGAAAAATCGAGCTTGTTCTGAGTTTGCCTGCTAGTAAGCTATGCGAGCATTTAAGGGCCGACGCATTAATAACTCAGTCATTCGTACAGTAACAGTACACTAGCAATATAGCTAAACCCAGGGGAAAAAATAAGCAAGAGAAGTTACCTCTTCTTTCTTCGTTTCGTTAAACAGTGGATCGCAAACTGAAATAGTGCATTACCGCCCCCTACCGCTAACATGGACCAAAGATCATTACCTTTTCCCCGAGACCTTTGAAGTTTTTTTCTTGATAAAAGTCAAATGATAAATCATGTTTAATCATAATGTGGTTGCATAAACTGTAACAAAAAGAAATCAATATGAATCCAATAGTCAAAATTACAAATATAGGCTACAAATAGTTTAAAATAACTACTTAAAAGCTTAATCAAACAGTCAAATCTCAAATGAATGATGAAAATGCACAGTGTAACAAAAATAAATATCAGTATGAATCCAGTACAATACTGTCAAAATTACAAATATAGAAATTGTTACAAATGATCACTTTAAAGTTTTATCAAACACTACATCTCAAATGAATGATGCAGATCAAATGCAAAATAACATGCTACATCACGCGAGTCACTCAATACCTATAGGAGGATCTTATCAGGTACAAAGTATAAAAATGTGTTCCTCTTCATTTAAAGCGTGAGAGAAGATTTGGCTGACGGACCTTCAACCCTTAAATTTTTGACCAGAGAACAAACCTAAACTCATTAAACTACTTAATTCTTATTCCGAGGTCACCGTAGCCACCCAGATCCAGTCTGTATCCAGATCAGATGGTGGAACAGCACCTAGATACGACCTCTACAGCCCTGAATGTCAGTGGAGGCCATGTCACCTAGATGAGCCCCAGAGACAGATCTCCAGCAAAGACCTCGTCACCTCGACGACCATCGGAACAAGACCACAGGAAACAGACGAATCCTTCTGCTCAATCAGACTTGTGTTTCAACCTGGAATGAAACCATGCCATGCTGGTTTCATCTGGCCAGAGTAGAACTGACCCCCTGACTGAGCCTGGTTTCTCCCAAGGTTTTTTCTCCATTCTGTCACCAATGGAGTTTTGGTTCCTTGCCGCTATCGCCTTTGGCTTGCTTAGTTGTGGACGCTTGACTGATTGCACAGACACTATTGGAAGAGAGGTGAACTGGATGATGACATCACTGAATCGTCAATGAATTGACTTTAGTTGAAAAAATGACTCTTTGTCATTGTCCTCTTGTATTATTGACAAACTATTTTCCTGTTGACCCTGTAAAGCTGCTTTGACATAATCGGTATTGTATAAAGCGCTATATAAATAAAGGTGACTTGACTTGACTCAAATGCTTTAGTCAGTTCCATCTCCCATAATAGCTCGATTGTGGCTACTCAATTGCAATTAACCTACACTTCAATGGTGCATAAAACTAAATCAAAAGAAAAGGCAGATAACAAATAATAGCAGATAAATCAGCTCCATAGTAGGTTCCAAAAGCAAAGGTGCTCAATCCTGTTCCTGGAGCTGTACCTTCCTGCAGAGTTCAATTCCAGACCTGCTCAACACACCTGTCTATAATTATCATGTGCTCCTGAAGATCTTTAATTAGCTGGTTCAGGTGTATTTGACTAGGGTTGGAGCTGAACTTTGCAGGAAGGTAGATCTCCAGGAACAGGAGTGAAAATCCAAGGGCGCTGTTTTTATAATCATTGTAGGGTTCCACCAGTAGTGGCCACTCATGCAACTTAAGCAATGATTAGTGGTCCAGTGGTTGGGACACTGTTCCTGAAGGCCCCCCAACAGTCGTTCTGAGGCTTCCCAGCTAGACCGTATCTCAACACTGAATATTAGAAGGAGACATAAAGGAGTAGTAAACCTGTATGATTATGTCTCCACAGTGACGATTATGGTGCAATTACAGTGTAACTGTAATATTTTCCTTATTTTTCCATTACTGCCGTCATATCAGTAATGCTATAATATATGTATAATTATATTTGTAGTATTTTGATGCAAAAAAAATTTGAATGAATGTAAATGCGAATTAATGAAAATCAAAACAAAACAAATCAACAAAACAAAAGAAAAGAAGAAGTTGATGAGGGAAGGCCATAAAAATTAGAAGTGGAACTGAATTGTCATCAGCCATTGTTACATATTCATAATTCCTCCACCCTTTGACTTGCATGCCGACCTGAACAAATGATAGTAACGAGATGCCCAGTTCATTTAGTTTGAATGTGCTTACCATTACTGGATTAAACGTTTTCTTAATGGTAATTGTTTCTTTCTCTGTCTCTTCTCTTCACATTAGGTTGTGAATATAAGTTCCTGTGCACTTAAGTGCACAAATTAATTTAAATAAAAATGTGACATTTCAGAGAAAAATTCTAGTATAAGGTAAATTAATTAGACATTACCTATACACTGGTAGTTTTATTGGTGCAGAGATTAGCATATTTTTGTCAATTGCTCACAACTGCTTTTATCACTTAATTAGAAGCACTACAATTACTACATTTTGTGGTCTGTTACATAAGGACTACTGATCAGACATTTAAAAGTTTATATCAAAGTGCAAAGCATGCAAAATGTGTAAATAAAGCTCTGTAAAAACTTTTACAACACTGTGTTGTAAGTGTGTCTTATAATAAAGTTCTACACACTTGTGGTCTTCAAACCCACATGAAAGTCTTGGGACAGGCCCAGAGACTGCAAGTGTTTGTGGTCTGTTACATAAGGACTACTGATCAGACATTTAAAAGTTTATATCAAAGTGCAAAGCATGCAAAATGTGTAAATAAAGCTCTGTAAAAACTTTTACAACACTGTGTTGTAAGTGTGTCTTATAATAAAATTCTACACACTTGTGGTCTTCAAACCCACATGAAAGTCTTGGGACAGGCCCAGAGACTGCAAGTATGCAGGTCTTTCCGGTTTGTTCTGCAAAGTTTAGCTCAATCCCTAATCAAACATGCATGAAAAATCAAACCAGTTTTCAGAATTACTTGACGGTTCCAGGCAGATGTGTTTCATTAGGGATGAGGCTAAATTCTGAAGGATAGTGGCCCTTCTAGACAACTGATCTGTTTTATTCTGTAACGAAGATGAGTGCTTTCAATAAGCAGGAAAATTCCTGACTCTAAATAATTAACCTTACATGTGTAAACATTTGCTGTATAGGCAAAATTCTGACATAAAATGTGATTTGATCAAATTTGAATACAAAATGTGGTGACCAAATGTGCAGTTGGGTAAAGCTTATGGTTCATGGGTAACAATCAACAATAACAAATTCTTTTAAAATAGTTTGTAACCCTTTTAAAACTTTGTTGCAGAAGTTTAAAAAAAAAAAAAAAAGTCCATTTTATGTTACATTTTTATTATTTAAAAAACTTATAGAAGCAGGTGAAGACATCTGAGTTCTATTTAGGATTGATCTTTTTTTTAGGATTTTTTTTTTTTTTGAAAAGCAATCACACATGAATAGACATTAGTCAGTGAATAGAGTTGTCAAAATTGAAATTGGGACCACTAGGGCCAGACTAAAAAATAATAATAAAAAAAATGTTCAAAAAATAACAGCATACTCCCTTGGGCGATCTATAATCATATACTTAAAAAAAAAGATTTAAATAAAGGAATTAAAAGAATGGCGTCCTCAAAGTATCTGACCAATTATCAACTACTTCCGGGTCGCCTCTCATGGAACCGACGCTTTTCTCTAGTTTCCCTTCTAATGATTCATTTCTGTATACCAAACCTTTTCCCTTTGAAAAGCTGTTGCAGCGCGATATGCCGACTGTGAAAAGGACCAGTAAATTGCAAAGCACTATTTTTTAAATGGACATCATTTTTAACTACAAACCAAGCGACCGACCTATGCAATCAAAAATAATCGTAATGTCTTAATCATTAATATTATGTTTTTATTTTTTCTAATTATTTTCTGTACCTTAAACCGAGTAAATCACACAGTGGACATTGTGGTCAGCGTGCGAATTTGCGTTGTTCAAAAATCGTCAAAGTTGGATAAACTTTTTCCAAACACAAAAGCAGAGTAACGTGGATAGAAGGTAAGTGTTCCTAACGCATGTGTGCGCTGTGATAATTGTTACGTAAATGTTTTGCTCTACAGATTAGTGTAGAACTTCGTATATCGGGTTGTTATATTCATGTTTAAGTCAAGGAAATGTGTTTTAGAGTTACTCGTTCCGGTTGTGAATGGACTTTAAACAAAGTAGCTACGGTCTAATGGGACCCAAAACCCATGAGACTCTTCAAGGACTTTAAATCGTAGATGATTTACCTTGTGATTACATTGTAATATATCTTCTAGCTAAATACCGTTGTTCTTGAAGATGCAATTTTGAACCTGAAGAAGAAGTTATCTAGGTTGTTAAAAGTAGGCTAGGCATAATCTAAAGTTAATTTATTTTAAATACATTTATTTTATTTTAAGCACTAGCATTTAGGATGAGGCATATTTATCACAAGCTAAAAAAAAAACGTTTAAAACATTTTCATCAAAACAATGCACTCCTATGCACCTATTCACACCAGGGGGGAAAATTGTCTTATGACAGAACAGGCTGATGACTTTAAAAAAAAAATTAATTCTTTTGTTTATTTTTATCAGGAAAATAAGGAGTTATTTTTTTATTTTTATGTTTTTATATTTATTTATTTATATCTAGTGTCCAGACATATTTGCTGCTACACATAGTAGTCTATTTGGTGGTGCTAAAGCATCATATTTGTTTTGACAATTGACCAAAAAAAAAAGGGAGAGAATTGTTTTGTCTTGCTAGGGAAAGCTTGCATTGGGGGTCGTACGCAGGGGTCTTATCCTCTATACATTTGGCATTAATATTCATATGATAAGACAGACTCCAAATTTTCTTTCATTGTTTTGTTTATTGTGATCCCAAACAGGTTGTAGCCAGGAAACATTTCTAGTGAATAATGATTGAAATGTAAGTTTGTTTGTCACACAAATCTATCAAAATATATACCAAATATATATATATAGATATATACCAAAACCGAGAGTGATAAACTTTATATCATAGTAGTAAAGACAATATGAACTGAATTATGAAAATTCACTTTATCAAATTTGTAAA